CATTTGCTCCCAGCAAATAAATCTGGCACTCTGATGCCATCTAGTGGTGTACTGCTTTTTGTTAGTCGCACGCTCACATCATCATTACATACATGTACATATGTACGAGAAAACCGAACATATCTACGTATTCTGTGTGAAGATTTTTATTTCAGGAACAAAATTTCGTGTAACAGTAGAGACAGAGCGGGGGCATGCTTCGCTCTGCCTGTCACGACAGTCTAATACAAAAAGCTTTTTCCTCTCACAGTGGTAAACGAACAAACGTGGAAACGACAGCATACTAGACAGTCACGATATTCATAATGCGAGAACAAACATACAGAGTGCTTCAGCTCGACTGCGTGGGAGTGACCAGCTGCCACTGCGGGACTCCTGTCCACGCAGCTCCTGAGCTGATAAGATAGATAATGCTGTGGAGTCAAGGGGAAGTTATTGAGGTCACTCAGCTCAGGCAAAATTCTTCTTGAGGAAGTTGATTAGTCCGTTGGTGGAGGAGTCGTGGGAGTGAACCTCAGCAGTGTCCTTGAGCTCAGGCTCAATCTTCTTGGCGAGCTGTTTTCCCAGTTCCACTCTAATAATGCGTATGTGAGGGGAGAAGACATGAATACAAGAGATATGATGGGTTCAGTCATGTGTTAATACATTTTGGAAAATCTGCAAAAATGTATCCACAGTGCCTCAATCTGAAAGCTGCACAGTATAACATTAGGCATCAGACTTCTCTTAAAGCTTGCTTATTTGAGCACAGCAGCCCCTGGTGTTCAAACCTTTGGGTCAGACAATGAGAAGAAAGTTGGCCTAAAGTAAGGGAGAGGGGGTAAAACTGCTTGTTTCGGAAAGGGGATGAACTGAGGGGCCTACACCAAAGCATAGTAAATGTTAAATAAGGTTTATTCTGACTGTGAATCATGCAAAATTTCAGCAGAGTCCAGGAATAAACATGTGGAGCTGTGAATTAGCACAAAAGAGAGACTTTTATTAGGAAACTTGTTGTGTATGCTGAAAGAAACAGACTCACCCCCACTGGTCAAAGCTGTTGATCTCCCACATTAATCCCTGGACAAAGATCTTGTGCTCATACATTGCTGCAAAAACGGGAAGAATAATCACAAATTCAACAAATGAAATGAAAAGAAAGAAAGTGTTTCTTTGTTTTCAAAGAAACAAAGAAACACTGAATTTCTGAAGCAGCACAATAGAGCTGTTCAGAATAAAACCTGCTCAGTTAGTTTCCCATCACAGGTGCAAACACACTGACTGTTACTATGCAACAGTGTGCAACGTCCTGACTGAAGCTCAGCTGGAAATTGCCGCTCTTTGGCTGTTTCAGGAAATTCCCACTGTGTGATCATTACCACCACTGTCTCAGATATCATTTATTATTGTGCAGTCC